TTAAGCTCAACTGCCTATGCTGTGGGGTAATAATAATAAGCTTCTCTTCTGGAGTGTTAACGACTTGAGTTTGCAGACCAAAATTAGAGAAAAAGAAAGGCTGCAAGGACAGTCAACATTTTGGTCCTAGCCTTTCAAGGTCAGTGAGGACTCAGGATATAGGGGAACCTGTACTGTAACATCAAGTAATTAAGTTGTGGCCCACATTTTCTGATCAAGGAGATTACGGGGCCACAGAAGAAAGTGATCGATGATGTAGAGTGTGCCTAAGGAGAGTCACATGGGGAGAAAACATTCTTTCAGGCTTTCACAGAGAGCAAATTGGTTAAGCAATGGCCATGACTCATCCACAAGTCTGACACTGACAAAGGATCTACAAACTGCGGTACAGGATTTCAGGATAAATCCTGAGGGGATTTGATTGACCTTGTCAGGTACAAAAGTTACATTTCTTGTTACATAGGTCTGGCTTTATCTTGGTCTTAACCATCCAGCAGAAAATTATAAAAATGAAGTATAAAAAGTAAAGCCATATTAATATGCTGAGCTGTAAAAGGCTCAAGTCAACAACTTCTGACATTGTCAGTCCTATGGATAACCCACTACTATTATGGACTATTGGACTATATTGGAATAGTTTGCTAAATTCACACACCCACAATATTTAAATGACAATGGAATGTACATATCTGACAAAACTAAACAAAAAAAGGGATACAAATGAAGGACCATTTTGTATCTGTATATTCAAAATAGGATAGATATACAGCTACTTTCTCTTAATTCAATGAATAGAAAGATTTGTACTGATGGTGTTTATGGACAGGATATCATGTCTGCATCTTGTGCTATGAATAACTGCTATGAAGACAACAGTATGCAATATATTAATTATTAAAACTGTCCTACTAATTGGTTTTCTCAATAAAATTATTTAAAAAATAAATAAAATAGATTTACTACTAATTGTTATTAGCACATTGAAAGGATAGGTATATGCCTATATTGCTTGGTTGGTTTTCCATGTTTGTACCTTGTATTATGAGCAACTACTTTTTAGACAACAATGCACAATGTACGAACATTGTTGATGTCATACAGTGCTGTTTTGAAATTTCATACTATTGATTTTATTGTTTATTTTTCTTTTCTTTAAAAAATAAAAATTATGTCCTAGGCATTACCCTCAGCCTTGGGAAGATACCAGTGAACAATTATATATACTTACATTCATATGAGGGAGACAGGCTGTAAACGAACCAGTAAGCATAAAATATATGGTCAAAATACTGAGAAAAAAAGACAGAGCCCGGGAAGTTCTATTAGATCAGAGTCTACAGAGATGGCCTGAGTTAGAAAAGATCAGAATGAATTAGGGATGGAGTTCTCTCCAACTGGAAGTAGCATTTTTAAGCAGCAGGAAAAGGAAATAGAAGAACCTTACAGTTTCTAGGTGATTTTAAAGATCAGTGAGGAAGCCATTGTAGTAATGAGGCAACCAGCACTCAGTGTAAGAAATTATCATCCTTTCTTTCGCATAAAGCTGACTGTGTCAGTTAAACTCTTTTCACTCTCTAACTGCGTTGAGTCTTGCCCGTTAGGTCAGGTGGGATCATTCGAAATGGAGCAGTGCTGGGCCTGGCCTTGGGCTGTGGCTAGCTGGAGAGGGCTACATATAAATGCAGACACTGCTGTGTTTATTCCTTCCATGAGATTAAATAGCTGCTACAGCAACACTGTTGAGAAAGATTCCTGGTCCCACTCATTCCCCAGGGGTCCCACGGCTATTCTCACGCATAAGGAGTGCCGCTCTTCAGGCAGTGTAGTCCGTAGAGTGATTCTCTCTGAAAGTTTCACCTGACCCAAGTTGGTCTCTGGCGTTGTCTTCCCAGTACTGGGATCTTAATCCTTCCTCTGACCTTACTCATGTTAAATTTTTCAGCAAAAACAAAACAGAACAAAACAAAATCTTTTCTGAGCATCAACCAAGAGAGCTTGCGTAAGGAGATGATGAAAGGATCTGTGAACTGCATAGATCCACAACAAGGCCCGAGCTTGGCTTTGTCTGAAGGTGTTAATCTGAAATTATTCAAAATGGTTGAAGTTGCCAGTGTTGTACAGAACTCTGTATTAGGATGGATTCATTTTTCTGTTACTGTGTCCCAGCTAACATTAATTAACACTTAATAAGAACTACTAGTGTAGTGAAAGTCTTGAGCCCTTTTCTGTATGTTAAACTCTTGTGTCAGATTCCTTATAAATATTATATTATTTAATTCTCGTGGCAGTCCTCACAGATTGGAGAGGACAGGAGGCTTTCAGAACCATGCTCCTAAAGTTGACAATGTGTTAGAACCATTTGGGAAGTGCATTACAATTTCTTGAACCTTCCATGCCATGAGCCCATTATTTTACTTTTTTTTTTATAAAGCATTATTGAGGTGATTTTGTAGTGGAGTCCAGTGTTTCTCAAATTTTCAACTCTGCCCTATAAAGTCTTAAGCTTTGTCTTATACTGAACCAATCATGAGGTTCTGGTAAGAATGTAGCTTTCTATTCATTTGTTCTAGAACATGGACCTGCGAATGTCTATTTCTCACAAGCCCTTGGGGAGAGGCATTGCTGCAGATATGCAGATCTTGGATTAGTAGCTCCCAATTGCTCCTGCATTTTGGGACACTCTTGGGACTCTTCCATGTCTGGCTTCTGTTCCCAGACATCTTGGTGTAAATCATGTATGATATAGCCTGGGATTGGAAAAGCTTTCCAGGTGACATAAAGCAGGGTTTGAGAACCAGTGCGTTAGGGTGACAAGCTAACTGACCCGTGTCGTGCTCATGAAGTGGAACTGGATCATGAAGCATGGGACCGTCAAGTCTGAGCTCTAAGCCTCTGGGCTACCACAGCGTCGTTTTGCTGGCATTCAGATTAGATCAAGGTCCTAAAGGCAACAGTTCTGTGGCATAGGTGTCACAAGTTATACAATGTTAGAGTCTGTGCAAATTATACGGGAATATAATTCTTTGACTTGGAATGCTTCAGTGTGGGTTGATTCAGTTGAAACTCCCTAATCTGAAAATACCCAAAGTCGTCCCCAAACTGAAACATTTTGAGTACTACCAGAACACCACCGTGGAGAATTCCACATCTGACCTCATGTGATAGGTTGCAGTCAAAACACAGGAGCACTAAACATATTATGCAAAATTACCTTCAGGCTGTATGTTTAAGGTGCATAAAAAGCATCAGTGAATTTCATTGTTAGACCCGGATTCCATCCCTGAGATATCTTGTTATGCACCTGTTCACAAATGAAAAGAATCCAAACCCAGAGCACTTCTTCTTTTTTAAAATTTTTTTAATAGATTGCAAATTGAAAATGAATTATTTACAAACATAACTGAATATAACAATAAAAACTGTCCAAAATAAAAATGAAGAAAGAATTTACAGATCAGTCATAATAGTTCACTGTGTCAAAACCAAGAAACATATTCATATAATTAGAATTCTCAAAGTAGAAAGGAGGAGGCAATAAATATTTAAAAATTTAAAATTTCTGAATTTAGTTCAACTTATAATATCATATTTCCAAAAGATATATTTTAAAAGGAATGAATCGGTGTCGCCTTCGCCCCAGTCTCCCGGAACTGGGGGTTGAACATAGACCCTTGGGCTTGCCAGGGAAGCACTTGTTCTACTGAGCTATCTTCCTGGCTCCAATAAATAAAGGCAGGGCGGGGGCTCGAACCGGCCAGGTCGCGCTGGAGAGCCTGGTGTGTAAACCGCTACGCGGTCTCTCCAGCTAGCACTTCTATCATAAGCATTTGGGTCAGGGATAGTAAACCTGTATTGCAGAAGTGGAAGGGTGGAATGGCAGAAGCAGCTACTTAGTCTGTCAGCAAAGGCTCTGCTTTCCAAGTATTTAAGACAAAGAGAAAACCTCTGAGGGCAAGTGCTCTCTCCTGTGTAATTCTACACAGAAGATGCTCAATGGTAAAACAGAGATCTCAGAATGTGTATGGGCACTGGGCTCATGCCACTTTAGATATTTATTTATTTTTTATTTTTAAAATTAATTTTACTGAGAAACAAATAGCAATGAGACAGTTTCAAAACAGGTCAGTAGGACAGTTACAATAATTAATGCATTGCATAGTGTTGTCTTTGTAATGGTTATTCATAGTACAAGATGCAGACATGTTATCCTGTCCAAACACTATTAGTACAAAACTAAAAAAAAAAAAAAAAAGATATAAAGGAAGGATCATTTTGTATCTGTGCATACAAAATAGTTAGGATAGATATACAGCTACTTTCTCTTAATTCAATGAGAAGAAAGATTTGCACTTTAGGTATTTGGAGCTCACTTTCTCTTTTATCTAATTTGCAGGAACAGAGCCACAATGTTGAATGGAGCTCTTTCCCTGAGGCCATTGGCATTTTAATTGATTTTATTTCACCGGTCCTAATGTGTTATACCTTATATTATATGACAGTTATGTTTTATCTTAAAATTGATCTCTAAGCAACCGTAAGGTAGAAAACTTTTCTTTTAGTAGGCACTGTGCACATATTTGTTAAAGAAATAATAGTAACAAAAGGCTCAGTGAAAACGGTAATATTTGCGTTGTGTGGAATTCTAGGTGTCTTCTTCCAGGCTACGGTCACAGTTGACATGATTCAGATTTTGTTATTCATGATTCATGGAATTAGCACACCCCGAGTCATTCACTGTTCCTAGAGGAAACACAGGTTAGGTTCCTGTGAGCTTCTGCTTGCATTTTCATCAATCAACATGTAATCTTTTTGTGTGAGTGTTTCTCTTTAAAGTCGCTGTGTTTACTCTATAGTTTTGATCATCAGCATCATGCTCATGGTAACAGCACTATGACTCACTCCTGAAAGCAGCTTATATAGCTTAAATTATATCACACCTGTCTTGTTCTTGGCTCACCAGGCAACAGTTCTAAAATAGGGAGGGTTTAAACATCAGAATCACCATAAGAAGCACAGAAACATAGAAAATGTGGAGGTCAGTGTACCCCACAAAAGATGCGTGGCACTGTATGAAAACAAGCTGCAACAAGAGGGTTGAGTGTCACCTAGCTTGCAAGGTGGCTATTGGGCAACTCAATTGCTTGCCAATCTATGTATGACCTCACATAACCACAAAATCTGCATGATTTAGGGGTCACAAAGAAATCTTTGTAAGTAGGAGGATTTACAAATATGGCACCTGCAAACAGTGGGGAATGGAGTGTTCATAGGTCCTCAGGCAGTGGTAGGGCTGTAGGGAGGCAGCTGAGAGCAGTGGTTTCAGCCCACCTGTTCATGTGGTCAGGGTCTTCACTGCCTCACAATTGCCTGGGAAGCATTAAACCACCCACTCCCAGAGTGTCCGATTCAGTGGCCTGGCATGGCTCGTAGAATCTACAGTTCTGACCAGTTCTGGTGATGCTCAATCTGTTGATCCAGGCACTACATTTTGAGGACCACTGGCCTAGGTACCAATGCTGTACCCTTTGACATAGTCTAAATTCAGATTTTTTTTTTTTTTTTTTTTGCATTAAGCTGGACATATTTTAAATCCATGACTAACCTAAGATATATTTATGCTCGTATCATGTATGCATCTTAAATGGGTTAATATGTTAAGTGTGCTAAATTTCAGTGATCTATTTTGCTTTTAGAAACTCCTATGTTCGGCTAAGGCACTTGTGCACCAACACGTGGGTCACCAGTACCAGCATCCCCATAGACACAGATGAAGAGAGGCCTGTGATGCTGAAGGTAAGCGCTGCCGAGAATGGCTGAACTCTCCGCCAAGTGCTGCGTTCATGGCCTTAGTAGGTGACAGACATCCTCTACTGTCCATCTGCGTTGGCGTGGGAGATTACTGCAGTATCTGTCTCCAGGCATCCGTGTGTGTTGGTTGCCTACATAGCTGAACTTCTATGGGGTGGCTGCCGCAGAGGTGGGAGGCACAAGGATGCCGAAAGATATCAGAATGAATGGGAGCAGCAAGTGGAAAGAGAAGATGATTCTAGAAGTGTCTGTTCTGTGGTGAGGCTGAAGCACAGAGCAAGTGTGAGAGGAACACATTCACAGGGGGCAGGTGGGGGCCCGGGCAGGAAATGGGTGTAGGAAACACTACCTCTGGCAGCCTTTCAAGGGGGCTGTGATGCTTGTGGGAGTTATTGTGGTTGGCTGTTCTATCTTGGCCTTGCTTTTCTTTTTTCTTTTCAAAATCATTTTAATGAGGGGAAAAAAAAGATAAAATGGCAATGAAACAGTTTCATAACAGGTTATTAGGACAGTTACAATAATTAATACATTGCATATTTTTGTCTGCATAGTAGTTATTCAGAGGACAAGATGCAGACATGATATCTTGTCTAAACAACATTAGTACAAACCTTTCTTCTCAATGAGCTAAGAGAAGGTAGCTGTATATCTATCCTAACTATCTTGTATATGCAGATATACATTACAAAATGGTCCTTTGTTTATATCCCCTCCCTTTTTTTGTTTTGTTTTGTCAGAGATGAGTTTCCGTTCATAGATGGGCTAAAAAGATGGACAATATTTTGGCCCTGGCCTTGCTTTTCTTAAATACTGCTGACTTGTGTTAGTCCTAAAAGAATATCGCCAATTTAGCGTAGCTAACCTTCATGGGAAAATGCATTTCAGATTGGAACCTGCCAAACAAAAGAAGATAAAGAAGCTTTTGCCATTGTGTCTGTCCCACTCTCTGAGGTCCGAGATTTGGACTTTGCCAATGATGCAAATAAAGTGCTAGCGACCACGGTGAAAAAGCTGGAAAATGGCACAATAACGCAGAACGAAAGGAGGTCAGTAACTTTAAGATGGCTATTAATTATTGAAAGTCAATGATCAGTTTTTCCAGTAAGCATCCAGTAAACGAATGACACTAAAGGAATCCCTAGGACACTGCTGGTAGCAGTACACTTCCTTGTGAACGAGGTGGAGCTTGGTCCTTCTTAATCATGATGAATGAACAAGAATAGAAGAATTAAAACCTGGTAGAATGTTTACATTTTTCATTGTAACTTGGCTTGAAAGTAGTTGTTTTTAGCTACTTTCTGATTTTTTATTTTAATACTTCATAGGAAATTCCCAATAGCATTCGCTACACTTTGTTTGATATTTTGATTTAGAATTCTAAAACTCCTAAAGGAGATTTCATGTCTTTCTGGTTGTTTTTAATTAATGAAATATTCCTTAGTTCTGGTGCCACAAAATAAACAAGTATATATCAGAAAAAATTTACAATGTGTAGCTCTTCGCCCTTCTAACTTATTCAGAGAAACTAGACCTTTCATTCTTAAACTTATTTTGGAAATGAGAAAGTGAATGAAATTATAGTAACCCTATTTTGTGTCAGTACTTTGTCAGGCATTATGAATATATTTTATCTAATTCTTCAAATACCTCTCAGATAGATATTCTCAGTTCCCATAAAGGAAAATTGAGACGACAGTGTGGCTTAAGTGACAAGTGGTTTAAAGTCCATATGCTCTTCAGCATATCAGAGCAAAGCCACCCTCTTTCTTAGCTCTATGTCATTTATTTATTTAGTATTTTAGGACAGGATCTACAGGGTGTACAGGGTCTCCCTACTAGATTGGACTTGTAGTGATCTGCCTGTTTTTAGCCTCCCAAGAGCTGGGATTACAGGTGCGCACCACCACACCCAGTCTCAATTGCCTTCTCAGCATGCCCTGGGGGTGGGGCCAGCACGGCAGACTGGGGGTTGAACCCCCGACCCCTGCGCATGCTTGCAGGCACTTTAGTTCCCTGAGCTATTTGGCTGGCCCTGCTCTATGTCTTTTAATTTGAACAAGTAGGAACAATTCACAACTTCCCAGGCATTCATCAGTATGAAGTATTGCACACAGCTGAGAAGATGAGGACTGATGGAAGCACTTTGAAAGATGCTTTGTCTGTAGCTAGCAAAGTTAAAGATGCAGGCATGCCATGACTCAGGTTCTTGGGCCAGGGAGATGACTCAGTGGAATAAGCACTTCCATGACTCGGGTTCTCTGCCCAGCAGAACACTCTTGGACATCTGTCTCAAGCAAGGTCTTTGGGACACCTGTGCACCAGGACACCTGTGCACCAGGGCACCTGTGCACCAGGTCACCTGTGCACCAGGACACCTGTGTACCAGGGCATCTGTGCACCAGGACACCTGTGCATCAGGACACCTGTGCACCAGAACTCCTGTGCACTAGGATGCCTGTGCGCCAGGACACCTGTACATCAGGACACCTGGGCGCCAGGACGCCTGTGCGCCAGGACACCTGTGCATCAGGATGCCTGTGCGCCAGGGCACCTGTGCATGAGGACACCTGTGCACCAGGGTGCCTGTGCGCCAGGACGTCTGTGCACCAGGACACATGTTCAACAATGTGCAGCCTTGTTTTGAAGACCCCCAAACTGAAAACCTTGCCAATGTCCATCAGCAGCTGAATGGATGATCACAATTGCAGTATGTTCATACAATGGAACAGAGGCGAGCTATGAAAATTGATGAACTACATCTAGGTGTAAAGAGACCAAGAAATCTAACAAACTTAGATGGTGTGGACACATAGCAAGTGCATTCACTGTACACTAACTCCTTATAAATTCTTAAGCAAGCAAAAGTAAACTCTTTCTTTGGGGATGTTTTACCAATTGCATGAATTATAAGAAAATCTTAAGAAGTCACTGTCACAAAAACCTCAACAGTATTTCTGCTTAGAGAGGAAGGAAGAGTGGTGGCCAGGTTGTCTGCCACTTGCTGTGGAATCACCTGCTGTGGGACTTTCCTTATAAGCTGTTCCTTAATTAGACTTGCATGTTTTAGAAACTTTTAGATATACATCTTACCATACAAAGGAAAAAAATTTTCACTTGGTTCCTCCCAGCCTTATCAATTAAAAAGTTAGGATATACAGATGATGGAATAACTGGTTTTCAGCTTGCCTTCTGTTTTTAACCTATGTTTTCCTTTGACAAAACAACCTCTGGGAACTATCAGGCAATCAACTAAACATCTAATCCTGAGGAGCGAAATGAATAAAGGCCGGGAGCTGAAGCACTGCCCCGCTTTTATGGGCTGCGGATGATTAAGCGTCAGAACCACCTTATGATAGGAAGTGGGGTTGAGCATACAGATCGGGACTTTTATTTGCCTGCCATTTATTCTCTCCTGATAATTCTATTTCTGCTTCTGTTCTTCTGACATAGGCACAGGAATCTACTGAACTTCTTTGACAAAGCCTCTTGTTCTAAAAATGGAGGTATTTGTTGAAGAAAAGAACAAATACAAATTCCTATTCTGAGTGCTCCCCCACTGCTGGCCGCCACCCTGTGCAAGCTACCCAAATTTTCCAGTTCCAGTGGAGGGGATCTTAGCCTCCCAGGATGCTTCAAAGAGAGGGTGGTGGGCTAGGACTGACCAGAGATAATGCCTTAAAAACAAACAAACAAACACCTTCTCATGTCCCTACTCTTCAGAATGAAAATCATCTTAGCAAAGAAATGACTGTGCTTGAGAAGTGTGAGGTTGTAATTATTGATCTTAATTTAATAATTTCAGAAAAGCCATCTCACATCAAGATACAGTCAAGGCTACCTGTCAGCCCAGTAGACTTTATGGCATAGCTCAATGCATTATATTATTTTCTCAGCTTTAGAATCCAATATAAAATTCTTTCTGAAAATAACTGACAATGCTGACTTTTTCCCTCTGTGGAGAATGAGGTTATTATTAGATATCCTTTTGACTTAAAACCAGGAAGAACGATCTAAGGTCAGAGGGAGGGTGTGAGAATATTGCGGGTCTGTCTCCAAGGCCCGTGTGTTTGAAGCCTCTCTTTCTTGTAGCTTTCCTTTCTTTCCACTCAGAAGTGGATTCCGAAGACCCAGCTGCTGTGCTGTGCTCCGAGAGCCTCAGCCTTAGATGATTTTTCAGTTCAGTTTTCCCATCTCATTTTACATAACTGCATCAGCAGAATAGAGAGTATTGGGGACTTGTTGGAGAGGAGGAAAGAAAGGATATGAAGAGGTATTAACTGTGATTCAGAGCTGGAGGAAGTGCCACCACACTCCTTTACTAGAATTTCTGCTCCGTGCTCTACCTGGTAGGGTACACGTTTGACCTCTGGAGAGTCCTACTGCAACATCTGTTTGTTTTTTTTTTTAATGTATTTGGTACAGAGTCCCACTGTGTATCTTGGACTTGGGTTGATCCTCCTGTTTTCATCCTCCCCAGTGCTGGGATTGCAACCGTGCGCCACCACGCCCAGACTCTGACCAGCTCAGCCCGCCCTGGGGTCATGGCCTGTGCTGCATGGGTGCTGGGGATCAAAGCACGGTCCCTGTGCTTGCCTAAGCTTGCCCAAGCAGGCTCTTTAGTTCATGAGCTATCTCACCAGTCCCGCAGCGTCTATGTTGACGGGTCATTAATTCAGTGTCATTGAGCTCTTGGTGTACACCAGGCCTTGGGCTCAGAGCATGTGCTTGTGGGCTAGTGCAGTGGTGAAGGGCTTAGTCTAGACCTGTGTCCCACAGCCTTAGGGGGTGGTGCCAACCCCCCACAGTGAAGCTGGGGATCTAGAATAGGTGCCGCCCAGTGGGTGAGCACGGGTGAGGTGTCCTTCTGGTTCTCTTTCTAGAGCAGCATTATTTTTCCTTGAATTTTATTTGTCTGATGTTACTGTTGGTGTATCACTAACTATTCTTAGTACTCAGCGGGTGCCGTGGGCTTGTGATGTGGCTCAGCGGTACAATGCTCGCCTTGTGTTCCTTTGGTGCCTCTTTTAAAAGGAATTCCTTCATTTTAGATTTTTCTAATCATTTTTGTCTTAGTTATATGTCCTGGGAGCAGCGAAGCACTGCATTTTAAAACCTCATTGGCTAGAGTATTTTATTTTGCAAGTTTTTAAAGAATTGATTTACTTTTAAAGAATACAAAATAGTAATAAAAAACCCCCAGCATTAGAAATGATACACAATTTCACTAAAAGAGTAATAGGAATTCAACAATGGTTGCTGTATTGTATGATGTTATCTTTGTATCAGTTGCTTAAGTTTATTTTGCAAGTTTAATTATCTTGCGTTTGACACATAATATACTGGAACTCATTCATATTTCTTCTTTCGTTTGCTTAGGTTTTCATTTTCTTCTACTTTTTTTTTCTGGCTTTTTGTTTAAGAAGATTTATCATTCCCCACATTTCTTGCTTTCCTTTTTCCACTATCGACTTAGAAACTGTAGGTCATATTTCTATTGTTTGTGGGCAATTGACCTGAAATTATGGGGCATATGTTTTAACTATATACTTTTTAAAAAAATTTGGTTATTAATATTTCTTTCTTCTTCTCATGCAAGAAAGATGCCTGAGAATGTATGCATTAATTACGTGCTACTCATTGCCTCATCTTTCTCATAGCAGGCATCTAGAACCACAGTCCTATGTTTGTTTTATAAATTTTTATTTTATATTTGTCGTACAACAAAGAATAAAAGCATTGTAAATAAAGATGCACCATCTTTTTTTCACTGAGAAGTTTAGTTTCTAAAAATAGTTTTCCAGTGGTGAGTTACATTTTTTTATTTTTTATTTGATTATTGTTATTATTTTTTTGGCTACTTCAGGCTGCCTTTAGGGCAGGTCTGGTATAGTTTCTGGAGCTGGGAATCGAACCATGGTTGTATGCGTCTGCCTGCATTTACTCAAGTGGCGCTTTAAACAACTGAGCTATCTGGCAAAGCCCTGAGTTACATTGTTACATTTTTAAATAGTTTACCTCTTTCTCTATTAAGTTACATTGTTACATTTTTAAATAGTTTACCTCTTTCTCTATTTGATTTTGCTTCTTTTGTCCTCTCTCTCTCTCTCTCTCTCTCTCTCTCTCTCTCTCTCTCTCTCTCTCTCTTCTTTTTGAGATAAGGTGTCACTATGCAGTTCTCACTATGCAGTTCAGGCTCGCCCTGAGCTTACTTTGTAGCCCAAGCTGGTCTCAAACTCGCAACAATCCTCCTGCCTCGGCCTCCTGAGTGCTGGGATTACAGGCACAGGCCACCACACCTAGACCACCTCACGTCTCACATCTCATTGTGCTTCCTTTTCTTTTTCAGTCCATTCAGTGAAAAGGCCTGTGACTTCTAATCTTTTTTTCATAGCTTTTGCATATGTAAAAAATGGAAATGTCTTTCTTTTGCCTCTATTTTTGTTTGTTTTGTTTTATGTCTTTTTTTATGTGGGAGCTTGAACTCAGGGCCACACCTGTGCTAGGCAATTATTTTCCAATGATTTGACTGTTTTCTGGCATTTCTTGTTGCTGATGAGAAGTTTGCTACTGACTCACTTTTTATAGTTATTATTGTTATGGTGTTGGGAATGGAACCCAGGACCTCTCATGTGCTGGGCAAAAGCTTTGCCACTGAGCTACACCCCCAGTCAAACTTGCTATTTTTATTGGCATTAAAATAAATTTGGGGGGTTGTCTCCACTGACATCCCACAGAGATTCGAGAGTCAGATCTGACACTGAGGACTGGAGGGTCCACGACCTCTGGGAATATGAGGTGTTAGTCATTGCAGTTGTGTGTAGCTCACCCCAAGGATCCAGCCTTTGCAGTGGGTTCTCTTCTTCCTCCCTTCACCACACATTCAGAGCTCGGGTGGGGCCACTGAATAGTTGATGCTTTTGGAAGAGGCAGAGAAGCCTACTTGAGTACCTGCTTTCATCTCTGCAGTTCCGACCTCATGCTTTTCAGCGCCTATCACTTTTGCACGGGTTGAACATTATTCCTGCGTTTCACCTGTTCTTACTTTATTCCTGATCCATGAAGCTTTTTAACTGTGTTTGCCAGCATTTTGTGTCTTTTGGAAAAATATGTTTTACTTACCATTGCCAAACCCAGCAGAAAGTTGACAGAAGAATTTTTTACTAAAAGAAAATTAGTGGGCTGGAGAGATGGCTCAGTGGTCTAAAGCACCTACTTGGAACAAGCTTGGCAAGGCATCAGGGACCGCGGTTCAATCCCCCAGCACCACATGCCAGCCAGCCCCGCCCCCTGGTGGGCTGAGCTGGCCACAC